AATAAACAGAGAGACAGATTGGCTGGATCTGCACCACTTAGTGGTGAATTGAGACATGACAAGGCATGTCTCAATGTGGTCAAGATCCTTTGGGAACAAGCAACGGAATCAGTAACGAAAGAATACTATTATGGTCTGGAGAGAATGAGGCCACTACACTCAGAGGAAAGGCAAGACGGACATTTAACCAGATTGTGACCGGTACCATCAGTACTGGAACTCTGCACTGGTTGCTGAAGGTGAGGACGGAGCTTGCATGGGAATGCCCTGAGATCTGTGATGTCAATTCTTGACTCAACTCAACTGCCATATGACTGATGTGCCTTATGGTGTGAAAAGGGAATTTTTTTTTTTTTTTTTTATCAAACTGATTGACTGTTTAGTCGGATGACTGAGTGCTTGGTTGGTTTCATGGACTGAATTGTTCCTTGGATAATCGGGCTGTCACTTGGTGATTCATCAGGAAAATTTGCTTTATTCAGGATCTTTTCAAAGATTCTGATTCATTTTTAGAGTATAGTTTCGACACATGTTTAAGAAACACATATGTGACTTCTAATTTATCCGTTGACAACATTATATTATGGTGGTGTATCGTTTGGGTGGCATGTTCGATGACACAGTGGGTCGAGATCCAATCCTCGCAAACAGCAAGATTTTCCCCGACCAGAACCGCTTCTGATTTCGGTCTCTTTGCATTGTGTGTTGTTGTTCGTCCATCACAGACAATGAGAACCACTAGTTCTTTCCTCCGTCATTAAACTATAGCTGAGTTCTGTGAAAGTTGTCACAGTACGAGCACAACGACAATGAGAGCAGTGAACAGAGTCTGCAGACTTTGACTAAAGTAAAAACAGCTGGAATCCGCTCATGCCTAGAATTCATCATCATCATCATGTAACGCGGCGTGTCGTTGGGTCACCAGTTTCTGTTGACTGTTTGATCAGATATCTCCATTGTTGACGGACAGATGCGATGAGCCTCTGGTTGCATAACCAAGGCCTGTCCAGTCAGTCCAATTCTGTCTCCAGTTCTTTGTTGAAGATTAGACAGGCAGAATGTTACATGGGCCTGCGTGCCCAGTTCTAAAACCTTTGAAAATAAAGAGCGTTCGTTTTTTCTGTAGTTTTTTTCCTTCCCCTCTACTGAGCCCTGTAGTAGAATCTCTAAAACTATGTTAATATATGTAATACTATCTGCAGCTGACCGAACGATCCAGGTTGCCATTTCAAAGTGTAACCTGATGTTTTAAAAATCTCAATCCGGATGACAGACCAACAATAGGTACCATGTTCAATCTTCAAAGAAGTTGGAAAAAAGGCACCAGTAACGTTAAACCGTCCAGACGTAACCGTCACACCATACAGGTGTCACCGTTACATCAGCCAGGTGTCACCGTTACATCAGCCAGGCGTTACCTTTACATCAGCCAGGTGTCACCGGTTCATTAGCCAGGTGTCAGCGTTACATCAGCCATGTGTCACAGTTACATTAGCCAGGTGTCACCGTTACATCAGCCAGGTGTCACCTGTTCATTAGCCAGGTGACACTGTTACATCAGCCTAGTGTCACCGTTACATCAGCCAGGTGTCACCGTTTTATCAGTCAGGTGTCACCGTTACATCAGCCAGGTGTCACCGGTTCATTAGCCAGGTGTCACCGTTACATCAGCCAAGTGACACTGTTACATCAGCCAAGTGTCACCGTTACATCAGCCAGGTGTCACCGTTATATCAGCCAGGTGTTACCGTTACATCTGCCAGGTGTCACCGGTTCATTAGCCAGGTGTCACCGTTACATCAGCCAGGTGTCACCGTTACATCAGCCAGGTGTCACCGGTTCATTAGCCAGGTGTCACCGTTACATCAGCCAGGTGTCACCGTTACATCAGCCTGTCAGTCCTGCTCACCTAAAGACTAGAACGCCACTTAAAAGATACACAAACGTGCTAAGGAATAATTTGTACAATATATTAAAATTCAGTAAACGACCCTTTCTCCACCTTTATACCTACTGGGCATATAGGGCTAGACCTATATTTTATAGACCAATCGGCACTCGGTAGGTGATGTGGTCAACATCCCGGGAGTTTACTTGGTACCCATTTTAGTCTGAGTCCACCCAGGAGCCAAAGATATTAGAAAGAAAAAAATTATAAGTCTGACTGTTAGGATCTGAAGCCACGACTTCAGTTACCCAGTTAAGCGGCTAGCGGCTACACCACTGTGGCTTCCGTACATGGGATTGTGTCATTTTATTTACATACAGAATTAGATGGTTCGACCGATCAGTCTGTGCCAATTGAGTTGCTACCTGGTTTAACACCTTTCATAAAAAATGCAGTGCTAATGTGGTTGTCAGGCCAACTTGTCAGATCCCAGATACCGGTTCAACCTCTGAATCGTTATAATTGATGCATTCGTAACGGCTACACAATGCTGGTTTGACTTCACTCATATCCGGATAAGGATGTTGTTTTGAATAGAAATAGGATTTCCGAACTTATCACGAACTTTTCCTCAATGCTAGAGTTCCTTCCCCTCCCATTTATGCCGCAGTCGGTCGTACCGCCTGTCCTATGGTATGGGGATCTTGATGGTTTCGCTCTCTGTATATAATATTTCTTGGAAGTTGTGTTATCGTAAGTCTCTTTGAGGCGCCGCAAGCGCCTGTGCTTTATCAAGAAGTACTGCAAGGGGAAGTGCAGATGGCGAGACTGTTCATGGGATGGAGACTGGTTTTTTTTTTTTCCTTTCTGCGTTCCTTGGCGGTGCTCCCCCAACCCCATTTAAAAACACTTATGTGACTTCTAATTTATCCATTGACAATATTATATTTTGCTGTGTGTCGTTTGGGTGGCATGTTTGATGACACAGTGGGTCGAGATCCAATCCTCGCAAACAGCAAGATTTTTCCCGACCAGAAACGCTTCTGATTTTGACCTGTTGTGTTAGGAGCCGCGGACAAGGAATGCAGAAATGCAAAAAGATCCCAGTGTCGATAGTCACAAAACGTCATGCAAGTAGCACAGCGTGGAAATAACCACGCAAGTAAGGGGTGACAACAAGACAATATAGAGAACAATTTAACCGTTCTTCTTCTTCTTCTTCTTCTTCTTCTTCTTCTTCTTCTTCTTCTTCTTCTTCTTCTTCTTCTTCTTCTTCTTCTTTTCTTCTTCTTCTTCTTCTTCTTCGCGTTCACCAGCTGTAAACTCTGGCGGAAGATTCTGGTTGCTCGTCCACTACTGAACTGCAGTCCTGCTTCAGAGCCTGAGTGTTGCGTATGCATCAGTTTTACAGATGTCATTCTATTGAATACAGACTGTTGGCTCCTTGCCTCTCTGGCAGATGCACTCCGACTTCAAAGGAAGCTCCCAATTAGTCGACTCTTACGACATGCTTTTGGGGAGGCAGTCAGTCTATTCTAGTTTTCCCTAACAATGGGGCCCCGGAACCCACACGGGGGAATTAAACCGTTGAAAATAAAAAATGTATAACACTCCAACGAAAAAGGACAGGCCGTTGGACTGGACGCGGAATAAATGCGAGGGAAAGGAACCTTCGCCGTGCGGGCAAGCTCGTGATAAGTACCAAGATTTCCTATACTGACTATCGCATTGGCCACTTTCTTTACGTAGAGCCATTGAAACAAAAATGGTAGACGGGTCAGGCAGATGTGATGGTGCCATTACCAGTTTGCTGTGCACGGATTTTTGCACTATATTTTTAAACCATCTACCATAATTACATCCATCAATATTGTCATTATCATTATCACCACCATGGTCATAATGACAAACACCACCACCATCATTATCACCACCGCTATTACCACCCCCACCATCATCATCATCATCATCAACATCAGCATCTTCAGCCAGCTATCTGGCCAGGGTTGACTGTAATATCCTTCAGTCAATTACTACAGTGGCGCAGTGGCTATGATGTTTCAATGCCGGCGCAAACATTTTCAGTTCAAATCAACTTTGTCGCACTTGTATAACTTACCTGAGCTCCAATGGCCACATGGGTCTAAAAGGCCACTGGGAGATATCAGGCAAAAAAAAAAAAAGATTAGGCGGGGGGAGAAAATCTTTAGAAGGAGGAAGATAAAAGGGACCATGGGACAAAGGATGCGATGAAAAAAGAAGAAGAAGAGAAAGAATAAAAAGAAGAAGAAGAAGAAGAAGAAGAAGAAGAAGAAGAAGAAGAAGAAGAAGAAGAAAGAAGAAGAAGAAGAAGAAGAAGAAGAAGAAGAAGAAAGAAGAAGAAGAAAAGAAGAAGAAGAAGAAGAAGAAGAAGAAGAAGAAGAAGAAGAAGAAGAAGAAGAAGAAGAAGAAGAAGAAGAAGAAGAAGAAGAAGAAGAAGAAGAAGAAGAAGAAGAAAACTAATAATAATAATAATGATAATAATAATAATAATAATAATAAGAAGAAGAAGAAGAAGAAGAAGAAGAAGAAGAAGAAGAAGAAGAAGAAGAAGAAGAAGAAGAAGAAGAAGAAGAAAGAAAACTAAATAATAATAATAATAATAATAATAATAATAATAATAAGAAGAAGAAGAAGAAGAAGAAGAAGAAGAAGAAGAAGAAGAAGAAGAAGAAGAAGAAGAAGAAGAAGAAGAAGAAGAAGAAGAAGAAGAAGAAGAAGAAGAAGAAGAAGAAGAAGAAGAAGAAGAAGAAGAAGAAGATAAAAAAAAGGGAGGAGGAGGAGGGGGTGAAAGAAGAAGGAAAAAAGTAACAATAAAGCGAAAAGACTAAGTAAGAATAGAAAAACAGTTTTGCTGCCTATCAATACAGGATTGACCATCTTTTTCTTACAATTCCATTTATTTAGCCATCACATTAGATAATCACATGATTTAAATTTTTTCTGTCTTGTTTTTTCACAGACCACGACGGAATTCACGTACCTGACGATGATGATAGTGATGAATTCTTTCGGCCAAACCGGCAGTTTTACCGTTTCGGTAGAGCTTTCGCCCCATTTTGGGACAATCTAGACGACTCTCTTGTCAAAAACAACAGACTTATTCATTTCTCCCCATACCCCTTGCCACCAGTTCTAGATGATGATGCCTTTTCCAGAAATAGCCGTCAGTTCTACCGTTTCGGTCGAAACTACCCTCCTTATCAAGATAAAAGGTTTCTTCGCTTCGGCAGATCACAGCCGGCACTTGACGAATATTTGCTACTTCAGCAATTACGCCAATCTCCGCTCAGAAAAAGGAGATCACAGGATTTAGATGTCAAAGATGGGCTTCTGCACAGGACTGCCCGCTCAGCGGACAAGAAGCAGCAGCCAACCAATACCGAATTAGGGAAAGATCTGCAAAAGAGGGAAACAAATAAGGACAATGTAAATATTAATGAGAACCTGTCGCGAGAGATTGTTGCAAGCGAGGAGCAGGATCTGAATAAACGATTCATGAGGTTCGGAAAACGGTTTATGAGGTTTGGAAGAGGAGACGAAGATGAAAGCTATGATAAAAGGTTCATGAGGTTCGGGAAAAGCTTAGGCGAAGATCAGAATTCCGATAAACGGTTCATGAGGTTCGGAAAACGATTTATGAGATTTGGAAGAGGCGACGAGGAGGAATCTAGCGAAGAAAAGAGGTTCATGAGGTTTGGGAAGAGTGGAAAAGAGGACGGAGATGTTGACAAGAGATTCATGAGGTTCGGCAAGCGATTTATGAGATTTGGACGCGGAAGTACAGATGAAGACAGTGACAGCTTTGACAAAGACATCGAAGACAAACGGTTTATGCGGTTCGGCAAAAGAAATAGAAGATCACAACATATGGTTCCCAACAGCGATAGCAAAGCTATCACAACTTCCTAAATCTTTTTTAGGCATTTATCCGCGAATCCCAGAGATGTTATTTTATCCTGCTTCGTTCTTCTCAGTCTGCTGCACCAGTTTACGAGCTCCATCAAACGCGACTCATTTTGCCTTCAGTAACTTGGCGCGGCGTGTCCACACTTTGGCACAGCAACAAAGCGCTCACGTCTTGCAGCTAGTGCTCTGCCGTCCTGAACGCCAGCAACAAATGCGATCAGGCAACAATATTCTCTATTATACTTTTAACAAACGAACACATTGCAATCTATAACGCTTATTTTCGATTACATTTCAGAACTATATAAATGCCTATGTTACCAAATTACGTTTTTTTTTTTTTTTTACAATTATCGGATTTAGAGTAGATAAGTGTCATTTAGCGCATTCGTCAAAAGTATGTACGTGCTGTAATTCCCTTGATCACAAGAAGTTGTAGTTCAGCCCGCAGTGTGTAAAACAGATTAACATACATTGACTGGCACTCTACTGGTACTCTACCGGCACTTTGCTGCCACTCTACTGGTACTCTACCGGCACTTTGCTGGCACTTTACTGATACTCTGCTCGCACAAGAAGAAGAGAAGGGAGGATACACAAGAGCATGTCCAAGGTGTCATGGGTTGTATTACGCATGTTTCAGCAGCGACATATTTCAATCCTGGTTTGTGTGAATGAATGAATGAATGAATGAATGAATGAATGAATGAATGAATGAATGAATGAATCGAGAGTTGACATCCCCTGCATTCAGGATATTCCCACACGTGCTCCATCCCCTTCTTCAGAAGCCTAGTCGACATGCTAGTACTAGTTGCAACCTGAATAAAAGTCAACCTATGTTGACCCCTTCCGTGTTGAATATTTTCCAGACTTTCTACTCGCCACACCCCCCCGCCCCCCAGTCCCCTTTTTCTCTCGCACTTGCACTCAATTGATATTTCAGTGTATGGATTCGGTATCTGTTCTACTGCACTCCTCATTTGATCCCAGACAGCCTTCACCACGTCCTCTGTATCATAAAGTCGCTGACCTCCCAGACGAGCCGCAGCAACTAATCTATCAGCCTGTTTGTGACCACTTACACCTAAATTTCTTAGGCAGGAAATCCACTATACGCTCCTGAACCCCGGTCCCGGTTTGGTAACTACAGCCTTCGATTTGTATGTTGTTTAGTATGTCCTATCTTTTCTAATTCTTTCTACGAGTGCTAATCATTATTGCTATTTTGTTTACCATACCATTTCTTATACCTCAATTGTTGCCCAGCTTTTATGCATACAGTTAAAAGAAGTCAGTGTTTTAACTATAGCTTTCATCTTTTATGTCTTCTTGTGTGTTCTTTTCTACTACTTTCTAGTAGTGCCGATCAAGAGATGTTAATTTGTTTATCGCTTAGTTTCTGTGGCCTCCGTGGCTCACCGGTTAATTGTTTCTGTATTAAATAAAAGCTGACCCTTGAGTCCAAATTAAGGAAACAATAACACTGTAGGACAGATAGAGTCAAAATAATAATTCCAATAAAACTAGGTAAGTCTGAACCTAGCTAGACAGAACAGTGTCTGAAACATTTACTGTATGTGGGCGAGCCAAAAAAATATGTTGCAAGGTATCACCAGAGTTACAATTACTTATCACACAGTTAAGTCTATCTGTGTTATTACATTCACACAACGTTTGTTCACAGCTCTATTCTTTCTAGTTTTTTTTTTTTTTTTAACCTCAACTGACCATAAAATAATGAAACTTTTATTAAACCTGTTTTCTTCCCGAAAATTGATTCAGTTGTATTGTTAAACCAATCAAGTTCAAGAGTCAGTTACTGATTTCATTCATCATCGTCATGTAGCTGGTCCTTTGCAGAACGTCGCTCTTATCAGATTCTGCCTGAAAGAAACTCGATCTCTCGCCAGCTCTCCCGCCTCATGTACTTTCATACTCAAAGAGTCACTTATATCCTGTGTCTATCTTTGTGTTGGTCGGCCCCTGCCCCTCCTTCCTGGTACCATGCCTTCTGCTATAATTTTTTTTCTAATCCGCCATGGCGCTTGATATGACCAAAATATTTCAGTTTCCCAGACAGGATGCTGTTTATTAGCCAATCTTCCTTGATGTTCAGACCTTTTAAGATGTCAGTATTTCTTTGTTTATGTTTTTCCAAGATATTCTGAGAATCTTTCTATAGCATTTCAGCTCAAAAGCCTCTATTCCCTTTCTTAAGGACTAAGAGATCGTCTACGACTTACATTCATTTGTTGCTATAGAGAAGATGCATACTCTCAAAATTCTAATTTTGATTTTCTAGCTGGTGCTGAACCAAAGACATTCATTACATATCCCTAAAAACGAATTTTACAAAGTCACAACTTTTTTGGGATCGTCTTTATTGAGTCTTGTTTATTCTACTAACGCATCGTCATCGGCACCTTGTTTTCGCCATCAATCATTTAAGGTGCCACTTGAAATTATCCAATGTTTTCAGCTCTGTTATTCCCTTTCAATTTCAATTGCTTTCTCGTGATACAAATGATCTACCTAATTTGTTACGTATATATCTTTCTATCCCGTGTCTTCCTTTCATTCCTTTATTAACTATCACATGCATAAAGAGCTTTTCTGCATAACTGATATGAACTTAAATGTGTGTCTTCATTATACTGTCGTTCTGCATATGGTTTTATCATTCTTCATTCGACAAATCTTGCTCAAGTCTTTAAATCTATGAAGTGTGAAATCTTGTCTTTTCTTCGTGTTTACCGGTTGTTTACTGCGGTGAAAGCTCTGGTTATACATCCACTTCCGGACTTTGGTAATTGTTCACGAACTTCAGTTCTGCATGCAGATCTGTTTTTACAAATTTGGTTTAATTATATAAAGACTGCTGGTTCTTTGCCTTTCAGGCAAATGTACTCCGACTTTCAGAGAAAACTCCCTACGAGAAAACTCCCTACGAGAAAACTCCCTACGGGAAAACTCCCTACGAGAAAACTCCCTACGAGAAAACTCCCTACGAGAAAACTCCCTACGAGAAAACTCCCTACGGAAAACTCCCTACGAGAAAACTCCCTACAAGAAAACTCCCTACAAGAAAACTCCCTAACTAGTCACCTTGTACAACATGCTTGTTGTGTCACTGGGTGAGGGCAATGGGTCCACTCCCACCCTCCCTAGATGGAGCCCTGTAACCCACACGGGAAGTCAGATGACTGAAAATCTGCGACACAATGAGAATTTGGAGACGGAAAAGATACACGCAAAGAAAACAGGCTAATTGAGATGCTTGTTTTGGGAGAATGTTTCTAGTTTTGTTACTGGACTGTTTGTGTGATCTGGCTTTCTGTGTGCATGTCAATGCAAGTCCAGCGGGAAAGGAAGCTGGGGAGACAAACTAGAAGCAAACGTGTTGTTTTAGAGACGAATGTTGGGAAGAATATCACGACCAGACAAAAACAAATTACCCAAAGTTGAGAAAATATGACGACCAGAGAAAAACAAAATAACCAAAGTTAGGGGAGAATTTGGGACAGAGAAGAAAGCGAACTATAGAGAATAACCTTGACAGAAGATCAAACCACGGAGTTGCCGTTTTACAAGACGACGTCAAACTTTTAAGAAAACAATCCAAGAAGAGTTAATGGGATATTCCAATTTCAATAGACATATATCTGCTTGTTTTTCTTTATGTATATTTCTTTCTTTTTTTTTCTTTCTTTCTTTCTGTTTCTCTTTCTTTCTTTCTTTCTTTCTTTCTTTCTTTCTTTTTTTCTTTCTTTCTTTCTTTCTTTCTTTCTTTCTTTCTTTCTTTCTTTCTTTCTTTCTTTCTTTCTTTCTTTCTTTCTTTCTTTCTTTCTTTCTTTCTTTCTTTCTTTCTTTCTTTCTTTCTTTCTTTCTTTCTTTCTTTCTTTCTTTCTTTCTTTCTTTCTTTCTTTCTTTCTTTCTTTCTTTTCTTTTCATTCTTCCTTCAATTTATTCTTTCTTTCTATATATATATATATGTGTGTGTGTTTGTGTGTGTATGTGTGTCTGTGTCTGTCTGCGGGCTTGTCTTACTGCCGTCGTGTCTTCCTTTCAGTAAGTCTGTCTCACCAGCTGTCTGTCTGTCTGCATGTCTGTTTATCTCAGTTTCTGAAGCTTTGTTTGTGTGTGTTGCCATCAATATTCCCTATCCAGATTGGTATCACCACAGCAATGTACTCTTTCTCCCCTCGCCTGAGTGTCAGTCTCTCGAATTTCACACTCGCCTCCCCTCATACACTACTGTCCGTCTCCGTGAATGATCATATCAACAAGACAGCGAAACCACACAGGCAGTGCGACACTTTCAGAGACACCCACAGAGCAGTATTCCTATCCCACATCCACGCGTGCAACAGCAGCGACAACTTCCAGACGCTACTTCGGCTATACATGCTATAATCATACAAGCAACGAAGGCATATGTGTGTACCGTTTGACTGTGTATGCGACTCGAAGCACCATATACCAGCGAGCTGAAGCGAGGCAGCGGTCAATGCATGGACAAAATGTGCGGCTGGACAAAATGTGCGGCTGGACAAAATGTGCGGCTGGACAAAATGTGCGGCTGGACAAAATGTGCGGCTGGACAAGATGCAGCATTGCTAGGTGCAAGTATTAATATTGTTATTATCAGTTTTTTTGTTACTATTTAGTTAGATTTTAAAAGAGTTACTTTTTAGTTAGGTTTTAATAGAGTTACTTTTTAGTTAGATTTTATAAGATGTAATTTTTAGTTAGATTTTATAGGAGTTACTATTTAGTTAGATCTTAAAAGAGTTACTTTTTAGTTAGATTTTAAAAGAGCTACTTTTAAGTTAAATTTCATAAGTTACTTTTGAGTTAGATTTGATAAGAGTATTTACACACCAAATTATTAGACGGCAGTATAGATTTTTACCATTGTATAGATATATAGAGAATGTAAAACCAGGACAAGAGACAGGGCGTGTTGGAGATCCATTGAAGCCAACCTACATTGTGGAGACGGCACCTGTTTTTTGATTGATCGATTGATTGATTGATTAATACAAGACGTTTCAAACCACCCCATAATAGTTTTTTGCGAAAGCTGGGGCAGGGGGAGCAGAGATATTTTTGGTTTCACAAGGTACTTTTTTCCGTTCAGTATTTTGCTATTCGTCGGCTCTGTGGCTAAGTCGATGCGAACGCTTCGTAATGCCGAGATGCCGGGTTTGATCCCAGCTGCAGGCCATGCGCCTTGCGTTGGTTTCGACAGTGGTATCAAGAAAGCCGACTGTCCAGCAAGCAATTGCAAACTACTGGATGTAAATTTGCCTAGAAAAACCACACAACAGCCAGGGGGTGTTGCGGTTGGTTCTGCAACGTCCTGTAAAGAATACGCAACTAACCTTAATTTGCTATAGCTCTTTAAACAGTCTAGGTTCCAACTATTGTCGAAATCAGCGCTAGTCAGTTGCGATATCGCCTGCTGCTGGAATCGAACCAGGTTTCTCTGAATTGCAAACTTCGTTCGTAAACCCCAATCAGCAAGTGGTCCAAGACAGTTCAGTTACACACACACACGGTTAATTAAAAAAAAAATTTTCATGGTAGAAGACAGCGAGAATGTCATATTATCTTTTTACCTTTGATAGTGAAAGAAATAACCCAATCTCATTATTGACAATTCTGCGGATCGGAAGGTCGTGGGTTCGCTCCCTGGCCTAGCCAGACTTTTTCAAAAATGACCTTGGCTCCCAGGTCGACCCAGCTTTGAGTGGGTACCAGGGGCAGAACCGGGAAGTAAAGGCGGCCGGCATGATGCTGACCACATCACCCGTCTTGTGCAGTTAGTCTATAAAATATAGGTCTAGCCCTATATACCCTATACGCCTGAAAGGCGTGGCAAAAGGTCCTTTACTTTACATTATTGGCTATTATCACTAATTATGTTACTCAAATCCCATTATTGACATGCATCATTATTTATGTGTTCTCACGTGGTTATAGTTTTGTGACTCAAAGATCAACTGTTTCTCCAGATGACACCAATAATGAATACCTGAGGTTCGGGAGAGAGAACAATGGCTACATCAGGTTTGGCCGAAACGATCCCTTCTTGAGGTTTGGTAAAAAGAACGACCCTTTCCTTCGATTTGGCAAACAAGACCCGTTCTTGAGGATCGGCAAACAGGATCCGTTTCTGAGGTTTGGCCGTCAAGACCCGTTTTTGAGGATCGGAAAACAAGACCCATTCTTGAGGATCGGAAAACAGGATCCGTTCCTGAGGTTTGGACGCAATGATCCCTATCTGAGGTTCGGCAGGAATGATCCTTATCTGAGGTTCGGTAGGAATGACCCGTACTTGAGGTTTGGAAGGAATGATCCCTTTCTTAGATTTGGCAAAAGTTTTGATGGTCAGATAGAGTCAGGAGTGGATGCAGTTACATTGTCCAGGTATTTGTTTCTGTGTGTGGTACAGTTAACTGATTAAGCAACGTTGTTACTATGATAAGTGCTTGTAGTATATCGATATCCCCGTGTGGACTGCCTCCCCCAACAAGCATGTCGAAGGAGTCGACGAATTGGGAGCTTCCTTCAAAGTCGAAGTGTATCTGTCCGATTGGCAAGAAACAAACAGTTGCACATTAATAAGCCAATAAAGCGAATGTACACGCAAAACTCAGGCTCAGGCACAGACAAAGTCTAGATGGACGAACAACCAGTACTTTCTGACGGAGCGAACAAAGAAGTAGCAGAAGAAGTATGTTGCTTAGGTATTATTATTCGGAAGGGGTAAAAAAAACATGATTCAAAATGAAATTAATCGACCAGATGCCGTCCCCAGAATGAATGATGGCTGAAATGCATCTTCACAAATCCGACCTCTGGCTCTGGTGGTACACTCTTTAAAACTTCATCCATCTCTTGATATCAACCCTCTCCCTTGTATCACTGTTTTCCCATTCCTCGCTTACATTCAGTTTTTCATCTAACAGACAGTCGTGTGGTTATTTCTTTAACGTGGCCAAAGTATTTCGCTTTGCCTCTTTTTATTTTGTTCAGCATTTATCTTTTCATGCTCACCTTCTCCGTAACCTCTGTAATTCATTGTTTTTGCTTCTATGAAATACGACTGTTGTTTTTTTTTTTTTTTTTCCATTTTTTCATATCAACACCTCCAGAGACTCAATTCGAATGACTAATTGTGTGTGTGTGTTTTTAATTGTCCAAGTTTCGGAACCATATGACAGGCTAGCAATGGACAGGAAAGGTTAACTATGAACATTACAATAAATGGATTTTTTTTACTTGCGCAATAATACACACGGGCTTTCGATCTCACTACCCAGAGAGCAGGAGGAATTATTAGAAGTCCAAGTCCATGTGAAAAAAATCCTACCCCTTACCGGGGATTGAACACAGAGCCTCTAGCACTGGAGGCGGACACCATGCCTCGAGACCATGTAGCCCTAGCCTGAGAGGTAGGGAGCCAACAGTCTGCACACAAATAAGCCTGAAATGTTAAACAGGTGTGCTCGCAAAACTCAAGCTCTGGAACAAGGCTAGCGTCCACAAGTAGACAAAAAGCCCGGGCTTTTCCCCAGAGTTTAGCACAGGTAAACGCAAAGAAGAAGAAATAGGATTTAATTATTCTGCGAAATATTTCGGCCTTAAATTGTGAAACATATTATTTATGCAGCTAGCATTAAGTGATTGCGAACACTGAGTTATTTGAAAAGGCAGTTATCACCACCCTGTTCTCAATGCACTGTTTTCAAACGCTCAGATGGTAATGGTAATGTTAGTTTTAGCTTCAAAGCAAGCAGATCACCCCATCTTTGCTCCGCTCCTGTTCCAACGAAAACCACACAGAATCATCACAGTCTCTTGTGGAGATATCGACAGACTGCTGTCTCCTTATATGCATTAGCATACACACGAATTAAAAGCGTACGGTAGCCATCAGAAGTGCTAACACAAACAGTCCGACATTAGAAAACAGTTCATCATCGAGGTAGCAGAAGTAACCACTAAATCAGCAGTTGCACACGCGATCAATTTTAATCACATAAGGGCACCACCAATATTGTGACGAAAGGCCATGCACCATTTTCTGAATCTACAATTCACAACGTCCATGTTGACACTCAGATGGCTACTAGAAAGTGGAGTAAGGAGGATCGTAGTCCCTATGATTATCCTATTGCGAACTGCAGATTGATAGAAGATACTAAGGTTGGCCTCTACTCCAATATACACAGGTGTGCATGTGGGACGTGAATGATACAGCTACTGAGGTGGATTCGTGTTAACAGAATGTCATAGACCGTACAAGATAGATAAGGAAGACTAGAAAGGGAATAGATATAAAGGAGAAATTAATTACAGATAGGTCAAGAGCTGAGCGTCTGAGCAGAATTCCGCTATAAACACATGATGGCGAGATGTATCCCGAAACTCCGTGCTCCGGCTGGGGTAGACTTGTCTTAACGTGAGCGGGTCTCTGATTTCAATGCCTTCCTATACCACTGTACAACACTATCTCCTGGATTGTTGAACGTTGAAATACAAATCGATATAATAGCACTCCAGACACTCCCATAAGCGTTCCGTTCTCATCTTCAGCAGCAAGCGATGAGTTCAAATTCGGACTGTACAACTAACTATCTGTGTCTCGCCTTTCCCTTGAGTGTTGAGCCTCGGCCAGATCCCCTGGTAATGATCTATCTGCGCGTCCACACTGTTCACTCGCTCCCAGGGGGCCCTGACAACATCAAGCTTGTCATACATTAATTCACCACCATGTGGTGCTGAACCAGCCAGTCTATCTACTGCTCGTTTTCCAGCGCACCACCATACAAGCAGAAAATATCCAAAGGACGATAACTACCATTAACTCTGGAAAGTCAGTAGATGCCAGGTGATATAGCTTGTGTCCCCTTCATCTAAATTCACAACAGGAGAGTTCTGTATTGATATCTTCTTTTCTTAGAGAACACGACTTCGCTCAAGAGAACGCAGCCAGTGACCGACGAAAGAGATCCGTCCACACAGACGAAGCCGATAAGGAAACCAGAGAAACTTCATTGGCTAGAGATGTTCGAGAAGCATCAGATCCCTCGGGACAGGTTAGCGACCACAAGCTTGCAGAAGAACCTGTGTTCAGAGATGCTCGAAATGGGCACTACATGAGGTCAAGGCAGTTTGGATCATTGTTACGTTAACTGCCTTTATCTATCTATCTATCTATCTATCTATCTATCTATCTATCTATCTATCTATCTATCTATCTATCTATCTATCTATCTATCTATCTATCTATCTATCTATCTATCTATCTATCTATCTATCTATCTATCTATCTATCTATCTATCTATCTATCTATCTATCTATCTATCTATCTATCTATCTATCTATCTATCTATCTATCTATCTATCTATCTATCTATCTATCTATCTATCTATCTATCTATCTATCTATCTATCTATCTATCTATCTATCTATCTATCTATCTATCTATCTATCTATCTATCTATCTATCTATCTATCTATCTATCTATCTATCTATCTATCTATCTATCTATCTATCTATCTATCTATCTATCTATCTATCTATCTATCTATCTATCTATCTATCTATCTATCTATCTATCTATCTATCTATCTATCTATCTATCTATCTATCTATCTATCTATCTGTCTGTCTGTCTGTCTGTCTGTCTGTCTGTCTGTCTGTCTGTCTGTCTGTCTGTCTGTCTGTCTGTTTATCTATCTATCTATCTATCTATCTACCTATCTAACTATCTATCTTTCTATCTATCTATCTATCTATCTATCTATCTATCTATCTATCTATCTATCTATCTGTCTATCTATCTATCTATCTATCTATCTATCTATCTATCTATCTATCTATCTATCTATCTATCTATCATCTATCTATCTATCTATCTATCTATCTATCTATCTATCTATCTATCTATCTATCTATCTATCTATCTATCTATCTATCTATCTATCTGTCTATCTGTCTATCTGTCTATCTATCTATCTGTCTATCTGTCTATCTGTCTATCTGTCTATCTGTCTATCTATCTATCTATCTATCTATCTATCTATCTATCTATCTATCTATCTATCTATCTATCTATCTATCTATCTATCTATCTATCTATCTATCTATCTATCTATCTATCTATCTATCTATCTATCTATCTATCTATCTATCTATCTATCTATCTATCTATCTATCTATCTATCTATCTATCTATCTATCTATCTATCTATCTATCTATCTATCTATCTATCTATCTATCTATCTATCTATCTATCTATCTATCTATCTATCTATCTATCTATCTATCTATCTATCTATCTATCTATCTATCTATCTATCTATCTATCTATCTATCTATCTATCTATCTATCTATCTATCTCTAAAGTGAGCGCCCGATGCAACTCCATGGCTAAATGCTAGCTTCGCGACCCTACGCTCTTGAGCTCTGAGGCTCAAATTTGCATTGTGTGGAATTAAAAAAGATAGTTAGAATAGATAGGTATCAGTATATATCTGGGAAGGTATCAGCACCAGCATAATTTTGCCACATCAGCCATCTGGTGTTGTTTGGTCAGTGTCAATGCAGATCTAGCACCATATCCCTAAATCACAATTGGCGGGACAGATGTGTTTTAATTGACTCTCTGAAGTAAATTATGAGGTCAATTTCTAATCACTTACAATAACTGGCCGTGTGGGTTCCGTGTCCTCCTGTTGGGGGACACAAGAATGCGCCCATTGCCTCCATAACAAATATGTCATTAAGAATCTACTAATTATGGGTTTCCTTCGCATTACACTCTCTAGCGTGTTACTTTGAGAAGACATTTACTTTTATACTTACTAATGCAACTTGTTTTTCTTCTTCTTCTTAGCCCTGATAATAAATAATTAGAATATGTTTTTGCCTATACGAGGTATATGAGTATATAATGATCCTGGCTGGATTGCATTTAAGGAGTTACACAGCAAAATGTTCAAATTTAATCAATCAATCTGCAACAAAACAGAATGTCTCTTGTGTGTGTGTGTGTGTGTGTGTGTGTGTGTGTGTGTGTGTGATTAATTGAAATTCTGATTAAAAGGATAACTGTTGCACCGGAAGTGTCGCAACGCCCTATAAAATGAGTGTGTTACATCGTTTGCCCAGTTATGTCACAAAGTGTGATCCCGTCACTTTTGTTGTAGGCAAATCATTAATTTATATCAGTAGGGACAAGTAACTGACTTATACCCTCGCGGTAAACAACTACAGGAGCACTTCTATTATGCTCACATTTCACGTCCTTGCTGTAAAATTTCTTTATCACGTAACTATAAATGAACAAGTGAGTTGAGTTGAGTTGAGCTGAGTCAAGAATTGACATCACAGCACTCGGGGCATTCCCATGCATGCTCTGTCCTCATCTTCAGCAGCCAGCGTAGAGTTC